ATTTTTTTCTTTTCTTACACTGTGTGTATTGACCTCTTTAATGCTAAGTAGGTTAAACATTTTATTAATCAGAAGGCTAGCTTATGTTGTGTCCACAAATTTAACCCTGGAATCTCAGAGGCTGAATACATAAGTGCAGCGATTTTCAATCTTTTTTTATCTCATGGCACACACAAACTAATTAGTAAAATTCCGTGGCACACTAAGAAATCCTTTTTTTTCCAGTCTGACCAAAAGAAAAAAAAAAGGTAAAATTTTGATTCATTCACATCAGACATCTGTTTTTGGGTTGGCTGTTATTTTTTTATTTGACATTTCTAAGGGAAAAGAGGTCAGTGCCCCTGATTAAATAGTCACATGGTTGAAAATAGCTGCATAAATATATTTCTTCTCTGCACTACTTGGCTAGCACAGGTGGATGGGATACGGGGGTGGGGAATTCTCCATTTACTCATTTAAGGACCCATGCTGACAGAGGTCCCATCATCTACAACATCACTGGTCGCTGCGGTAGGAGAGAAGAGTGGGATGAAATATTCTTCACTGCTCTCTAACACTTCAACCTAAAAGTGACAAATGTCACTTTTGTTCCCACTAATTGGCCAGAAGTAGTCACATGTGCCCCTCTAGTGCACTTAAGGATATTCAGTGAGCAGTAAGTGGCTCTCCCAAGCCTCTCTGAGGATCTGGGGCATACAGTTCTACTGGTTTAAGAGAGATATTTAATGATCAAGAGTGCAGACCCTGGAAATGGACTGCCTAGCCCTCCCTCTTACTAGCTGTGTGACCTTGCCTAGTTGGGGAAGTTACTCAACTTCGCTGGGGCATAATTTCCTTGTCTATAAAACAGGGATAGTAATTAGAAAAGCCTCACAGAATTATTGTGAGTTGTGAGACTTGAATGAGAAAACACACACACATATATATGTGTGTTAGAGCACTGTACCATTTAATTTTTAGTATGTAATTTTATTATTATTATTAACCTGTTGGTTTCTCATAGAGCAGTTGAGGGGACCGGTGGGAAAGAAGTTATAGTAATATGTCTATGATGCTAGCTTCTGGACTAGGATGATGATGTTGAGCAGAGAAAAGATGGGCAAGAGAGATGGGCAAGAGGGTAAAACCCAAGCAAGATTCACTGGCTAAATACCATGGATGAGAGGAGGATGATCAGGTGTGGGTGACTGAGAGAAAGAAGCTTGAGTTTGCAGAGAAATTAAGGGTCCTTTCAGGGAAAGAAAATTAGCTTAAAGTCCCAATGTGGTGATGGGAGATGTCCAAGGCACAGGAGGCCACAGGAAGTAGAAGAATAGAGCCATCTTTTAATGGACATGTTTCTAGAAGTGGGGACATCCTCATGCTCTAAGTCAAGCAACAGTCACTGATGTCAGATGGTTCAGATTTAATTACTGGCTCCACTTCTCCATGTGGCCTGGCACTCTAGTTTCCTCATCAGCAAAATGGAGATAATATTTGTACCCATCACTTAAAGTAGTGAGGATTAAGTGAGATAATGCTTATCAAGCACTCTGAAAAATGGCACGTAGTAAACAGTTAATAAGTGTTCCTTCTCAACGAACAGAGCTGTTGAAATGAAATTTGGGAATTATCTTTAAAGTGATCAGTTTTTCGGAGCTGAATGTAAAACAGACTTGTGTTGGCAGAAGTTCTCATGGTTGTATTTAGTCTTGCCTGGATTCAGAAAAATGGGCTGTATTGTCAACAGACTAGCTTTTCATTCTTACCTGAATAGTCAATGAGCAAATATTTTTAGGTTTGCAAAGAATAGTAAATTAGAGTGGGCTTAAAATGACCAAAATATATCATTTTAAGGACTTATTTGAGATCAATGCTTCCCCTTTTAAAATTGCCTGGCACTCTTTTTTATTCATTGGTAGGTGTCACTGCCCTTTGCCTCTTGAAATACAAAATTATTTCCAAGCAGAACATATTTCTGTATCTACATTTAAATTGGCTTATTGGGCAGTTACCTTTATCTTTTTTTTTTTTTAATCCTCACCCAAGGATATGTTCAGAGAGAAAGGAAGAGAGAGAGAGAGGAAGAAGGAGGGAGGAAAAGAGAGAGAAAGATACATGTATGTGAGAGAGAAACATCGATCACTGTATGCATCCCTGGCTGTATCTTTTTATAGATCTGGTTTATATTACAGGGCCTTACAGGGTAATGATCTTTAGTTACACCTATGGTCTAACATGTAAATAAGCATTTAGGGTGTTCCTTTTCACTTCATTGAGAAATTAAGAACTTCAGATATTTCAGTAGGACTTTAGAATGTTGTTACTAATAGTACAAAACAGGTGCTATTTGATTAGATGGATATTTGAGAACCTTCTGTGTACCAGGCTCTGTACCAGGTGCTGTGTCAATAATGGACAACATCCTCATCCACATACATTGACAGCCTGGCTGAGTTTATAATCTACCTACTGTTGGTTATTTCTACTATTTAAGGATGGATTGTCAGCTGGTATATAATGAAACAATTAAGCCCTCTATTACATTTTTGGTCTGATTGAGTTCTGTATTCTTTATGGAGTTAGAGTTACATTCCTCATGCTGCCTCTGATTTACCAGGTGCTTTTTCTTAACTTAGATTTATTTGTAAAGTGTAGCTGATACTATCTGCTCCATCCTGTTTCACAGAATTGTGTGAAGGAAAACATTACATACTCTATGGACTATTTTGTAAGTTATTGAGCTCTTCATATATTGCTGATGTCATTTCTAACATCTAACATTTACTATTCTATTCTATTCTGTGATATCACTGAAGAATCAATGCATTTATACTGATTTCAACTAAATCCCTTTGAGTGTTTTTTTTTTAATTAACCAAATGATCCTTTTAGAAATACACATAAAATTATGGAGGAAGTAAATATAGTTAACTTCACAGTAGATGAAAGAGTCTTCTCAGTACTGTGAAGCAGGATGTTGATTCATACATAGAATAGTTTATGATCAAATGTGATAGAGCTAGTATACCATAAAGATACTCTGAAATAAAGGAAACTTTGTTTCTGGTTTACCTTTAGTAGCTTTCACAGTGGTTTCTCATTTGGGACCCAACTCAAATGACATGCAGCCCTAGTTGGTGTGGCTCGGTTGGGCATCATCCTGCACAGTGAAAGGTTGCAGTTTCAATTCCTGGACAGGGCACATACCTAGATTGCAGGTTCCATCTCTGGTTGGGGCAAAAGCCAACCAACCTATGTTTCTCTCCCTTCCCCCTTCACTTAAAAAATTGACTACATGCATGAAATTTGATGTTTTGCCCTTTATTCTTCGTCATTTGGGAAGGTTTATAGACGAAAGAAAAGCCGAAAGATTCTGACTTCCATCCATATGGTCTTACCTGTCTCCATAAAGCAGGGGTGTCCAACCTGTGGCCCAGAGGCCACATGCGGAGCAGGATGGCTATGAATATGGCCCTACACAATTATAAATTTACTTTTAAGAAATTTTTTTTTCTGATTACGTGTTGCAGTGTACTTAATGTGTGGCCCAAGACAACTCTTCTTCCGGTGTGACCCAGAGATTCCAAAAGGTTGGACACCCCTGCAAGTGTTTCAAAGGTCACTACCTCTTTTTTGTCAGTGGCTTTAGGTTTAGCAGCTTTTTATGAAGTTAATGCAATCCAAATCGGAAAGTACTCAGTAAATGGCACTGAATCAACCATTAAGATAATTTTCTTACAGGGTAAAAGTTGAAAATGAGTAAGAATTTCAAACAAAATATTTCCAGGATATAGAACCTAATAAAAATTTAAAGGATGACTCATGGTACTGCATTTCATTTCTTTATGTTCCATTGTCAAAATTGCTATCATTGCTAACATAGATTTTTGTATTGGGGTATTTTGGGATTGAGTAAAACATATTTGAGCTGGTAGACAGGGCAACTATACTTGCAAATGTCATACTACTCATATTAAGGTACTCATTTGAGCAAATGTATAATGTTGTAAAGAATCCTGGGAACTCTTAAGTTTATAATTTTGCATTTTACTCTCTTTTTTAGGCAAGCAGCAACTATACCACCTGCTGCTCATCCTTCCTACCCTTTCTGGTAACCCAAACCATTGAAAGATACAGGATACTACTACCTACCAGGGAATTTAATAAAAGAAAGAAAGGGGGAAAAAAGAAATCCCCTAGAGACCCAAGAAAAAACAAATATATTTGTATATTTTTTTATTCACGAGAAGCATTTAGCAAGTGGCCCCTCTTCCTCATGGGCACCTCCACACAGAACCCTTGTTATTCCTAAGCAGTGGCCCTTACTGTGCTGGTGGCCTGGAGGAAGAGCTCAATGCTTTCATTGCCTCTGTCACCATCATCATGTACTGTAATGTTGCCTTCCAAATCTATGTACCACTCAATTATAATCTCCTTATAACTTTTGCTGATAGTTGACAGTGAGTATTGAAGGACATACTCAATTTTGTAGAATCCTGTTCTTTATTCCAAGAGAGGTCTTTGAAACAAAATTTTATGACTCAGATCAAAACAAAACAAAAACTTGAGTTATTGAATAAATGAAGTCTAAGAGTAAAAAAAAATGGATTGAAGAAATATGTTATCAAAAAATACGTTAGGATATTAACATTTTTACACTGGCTATATACAATCTTAACAGTCTTTTTTCTTTTGACAGATTGTTGGCAGGAAATGTTAATGATGAAGTTTTTCATTGACACAAAACTATTCTTTTTACACTGAGAGCTATTAATATAGTCTCCCTTTTGGTATAATATTTCATTTACAAATTAGAACTTTGCTTTATATTTTTACCTAGAGTGTAAAAAATAATGTATTTATCAGTTTACTTCCAACTTGGAGGTGGGAGATAGTGCCCAATGAAAGAAATGTAAAAGCGCTCTAATTGGAAGTTGAAGAATCATTTTGCTTTATAAGGAAAGTCCTGCAAAGTTTGTCATATAGTTTACTTTCCTATGAATCCAAGATTTTTCTTCTTATTTTCCATTTAAAGACTTGGAATGTAACATTATTTGAGTTTCTGTCATTTCACGTGAATTTTCTTCAGGGGCCGACTTCACAGCACTGGAAATTGATACACTGACTTGACGTTTCAGCATCTTCATAACCTTTCTCTTGTACCCTTTACATGCAAAGAAATATATAAAAGGGTCCATGCAGCAATTAAAGTTCATCAAGCATACTGTGAAGTGCAGAGAAATCTGGAATGAATGTCTTTGGCTACATTCCAGGAGATTAGGAAAACGAAGCTTCTTAATCATGTGCTGAATAATTGCTACATGGTAAGGTGTGAAACAGAGAATAAACACAACAATTATGAAAATAATTGTATTGAGAGCCTTTTTGTTTACACCAGATTTCTCAGCTAGTGGATTTTGTTTTGCAGTTTTAAAGAGTTTGCAACAGATTTGAGAATAGCAGATGAGAATAATCATGAGTGGAAGCACATATCCTATGAAACATGCACCGAGCAGAATCCAGGGAAGAGACTTTGTTTCTTCAAAGTTTGGATATTCCATGCATGTAATCCTTTCATTCTCCTGCTTTGACATAGATTTTATGAGTAATGGGAGTGTTTGAGCAAATACTAGAATCCAGACAAATATGCAAATGCCTTTTGCATGTTCAATTCTTTTCATCTTGTTGTATCGCAGAGGGTGCACCACAGCAAAGAACCGATCTATGCTCAGGCAGGTCATGAAATTCACGCCTGCATATGTATTGATGTAAAACACGAGAGCAGTTACCCTGCACAAGGCCTCACCGATCCTCCAGTCAAAGCCTAGTGCATAGTAGGCTATCCGTGTAGGCAGAGCGGTGGTAAAAAGTATATCAGAAATTACCAGATTTGTTGAATATAGTGTAGTAGAGTTGATTTTCTTCCTGTTTTGAACAATGACAACCAAGGCTAACAAGTTTCCCACAAGCCCAATTAGGAAGACAATGCTGTAATGCAGAGGCATTAATATCCTGGCTGTGTTGCGGTGTGCATAGAGATCACAGTCACTTTCCTGAGGAGCTGTAGAGGGTGTGGTAAAATTGTTGTCCATTTTTATATCCATCAGTGGTGTTCACGTGTCTCTAAAAAAAGCAAGAAAGGTTAAGCCTAGTTAAAAGCAGATTTAAATCAGTATAAACTACCTTTTATAGATCTAATTTCAAAAATTTTAAGATTTATATACTTATATATATTTTTTTTATTGATTATGCTATTACAGTTGTCCCATTTTTTTTCTCCCCTTTATTCTTCTCTGCCCTGCACCCTTCCTCCCACCAGCATTCCCCACGCCCCCACCCCCAGTTCATGTCCATGGGTCGTACATATAACTTCTTTGGCTTCTCCATTTTCTGTACTATTCTTAACCTCCCCCTGTCTATTTTGTACCTACTATTTATGCTTCTTATTCCCTGTACCTTTTCCCCCATTATCCCCCCTCCCCTCCAATCTCCATTTCTGTGACTTATATAATTTTAAAAATCCATGGTATGTAATGTGTAATACATATATAGCAACAGGAAGAACAGAAAAAAAAATTATGTTTTTACTCTCACAATTTGGCAGTTTTGGCAAAGCCCTGACAAAAGAGCTACAACCAAAGGAGCTAGAGCAAATATTTTTGTGTGTGACAAGAGGGAATGCACTAACTTTTTAGGCAGAACTTTGGCCTTCATATTTTGAATCATTGTCTAGTTAAGAATAAAATCATGTGAAGTATCCCACATTTCAGATGAACATAAAACTTTGCTTTTAAATTGAATTTCAGTTGGACTTTATTTTTTCCAAATGCGTATCACTGCCCGGAAATGTAATAAGTCACACATGTATGTAATGAAATGTGAACTTATTAGCACAGTGAACTGATTTGTGTTAACCTAAAAAGTATAAGATACAAGCCAAGGCCTTGTTAGGAACTGAAAGTTAGGTTTTCTTAAAAGAAAAATAAAAGATGATGATGAGGGATGACCACTATAACCTTGAGAAAAATGACAAAAAAGAAAAGAGGAAAAAAACTTACTCCAAGGAAAAATTTTCAAATTAATTTTAAACTGTCATTTCTCTGATACCACACCGATGCATACAGTATATACATTATTTCATTCACACATAATAGTAAGCATTACACGTGGTATTTTGTGTTCTGCTTTACTCAGTGAACATGTTCATGGATCAGTGCATTATATACATATATCCGTCAAACATGTAAATCTTACATAGATATTTGATAGGTATTCTGTAGTGCAATTGGCTTAGCTATTCCCTTGATGAACGTTTGGATTATTTCCAACTCTTTCCTTGTTATAAATAATGGTACAGTGAAATTTCAAGTCCTAAGTGGAAAAGTAGAAAACTCCTACAATAAACTTTCATATATAAAACTGAACTTTGATAAAACTACACAAGAGAAAAGCAATAAATCCTCTGAAGTTATTTTTGATTAAAAAATAATTTTCTGATGGGACTATAGATGTGCACATATCTCATCTGAATGTCACCAAAGTTAGGGAAATTTTCTATATATCTAGTGTGGATGGTTCTATATGTAAGAGGAAAAAGACTATCCCTAGACATATCAAGGCATCAACTGCAAATCTGTTTCTCTGACAGCTGTATTAAATGAATTAGATCTCTGTTAACTCTGTGTTAACGATCTTAAAACAGTGATGCTAAGAGACAACAAGGGTTATCAGAGGATTGCACTAATGTTATAGGTATGCATACATACAGTATTGATAAGTTAAGCATTAAAATATGGAAATACAACCTAAACTAAAAGGGAACAAAAATGGAAGTAGAACGCCTTATTAATCAAGAGAAGACAGGAAAGGAGATTATAGGGGGGGAAAGGATAGAATGAGGATGGTAAATAGAAAACACAAAGTAAGAGGATAGAAATGTGTCACAGCAAATTTAAATGGCCTTACCTATTGAAAGACAGAGACTATCAGTTTGGGTTTTTTAAAAATACAGTTCTGTGCTACTTAAAAGAAATATAACTCAAAGTGATTCTGAAAGGTTGAAAATAAAGACTTGGGAGAATAGATACCATATAAATCCCAAGCTGAGGAAAGCTAGAGTGGCAATATTAACATCAGAAAAAAATAGAATTTAAGGCACATTCAATATGAGTAGGGATAAAGAATGTCATTATAAAAGTTAAAAGAATAGTTTACAAGGAACATAAAAATCACAATTGTGCATATAGGAACAAAATTTGACAGAATTTAAAGGAGCAATTGGCAAATCCACAACCATAATGGGAGATTTTAACACATTTTTATTGGAATATGCCAGTTAATAAAGAGATTAAGGACTTAGATTTACCCACATGACTTAAAAGCTAATAGAATTTGTGTTGAAGGCACATGACCTTATTTGCAAATTTGACTGTTACAAGGTCATCAGAGATATTTCAGAACTTTCAGAAAATCATCTAGTAGTTCACACTTACTTTTGACTATAGTACAACTAAATTATAAATCAACCCTAAAAAGATAAAAGATAAATTTGGAATATAAAAAATGTATTTTAAGGAATGCATGGATTAAGAAATCACAATGTTGTTTTTTCAAGATGGCAGCAGAGTAGATGGATCAGAACCAAACTGGAAATTCAACTAAATTGGAGTAAAATTAGCCTGAATGACCAACTCACAACTGGCCAAAGAGTAGATTTAGAACCAAGGAGCTGTAAAAGAAGCCAAGTCAAGACTGGTAGGAAGGGCAGAGTACAGAAAGGGACTGGCCCACTCCCTCAGGAGCTGTGGGAGGTTCCCCCTGAGGGAGACAAAGCCTAAACCACAGCATAGGCTCCCCAGCCCAGAGCACCAGAGCCAGAAAGAGATGCCCACACAGCATTGCAGTAAAAAGAGGGATGGGAGGTTGTTCTGTCCACCAAGGAGAGGCAGAGTCTGCTGGAAGCACAGGCAACCCTCTTAAAGGGACAACGTACAAAACTGCATTTGCAGCTACTCACCCTGGTGGCTATCAGAGGGGATGTGGTCTACACTGGAGTTTCCTTAGGAGAGTCTGGGATTTTTGATTCTGAGGAGAGATGTGGGAGTATAATCACCATTATCCTGGTGCTGAATCATTCTCAGACACCTGCAGCCGACATCTTTTCTGGGTGGAGCAACCCCCTTCCCATTGGAACAGCCTGGAGGAAGGCAGTTACCCCACCCTTAGGAATTTCTCACACCCTACCCTTAAGAATTTATCTTGCCTCACTGGAGAAGCTAGTGGCAGAGGCATAGGCTAGAGCAGGCATAGTAGTCTTGGGCAGATGGGAGTCGCAGGGGATGGGGAGGGCAGGGCCAGGGGGTGGTTAGGGTGGGATTAGTGACTGGCTGTAGGGATGCGTTCTCCCCATTCTCCATAAACCTGACTTTTGCTACACCCCTCATGGGAGATCCCATAGAAACACCCTTCCGGCTTCTGGCAGATCTAACCTGTGGGCTCCAGAGGCTCCACCCACCTGAATACTAGGGACTCTGCCTGCCAAAGTCAGGGCAAAACCTAGGACAGACTCAGTGACCCCCATCACCTTCCGTGAAGCTTGAACATCTCTCCCTCATCAGAGACCTCTCCTTTCTGCAAGAGCCTCTCTCAGTGACTAAGCCTAAAAGCCTGGCAGACAGGACAGAACCCACGGTGCCTTAGAAGGTTTGCTGTCCCACCCTTGGGCCCAGTGTTGATGAAATCCAGCCTTAGAGATTAGCCTGGTCTTTCCCAGGGGCAGCCAAGTCCAACAGAGGCAGCCACAAACTGTGGATCAGTGGTAGCTTCAAGCAGGTTGCAGACAGCAAGGCATGGACAGGACAGCACATCTGACATTGGCCTAAACCAGAGTCCCTCCCTAGGAGCCCAGAACAAACACACCAAGAGGCCAGCACCAGAAAATAATGGAGCAGAATCCAACAAACTTCAAAAATAATATATCCAAAAGGATATCACAGAAGGTACCAAACTATGCAGAGAAGAATTCCATTTTTCTCTTTATTTTATTTTTTGCTTCTCTTTCTATATATTTATTTTCTTCTTTTCCATTTTCTATTTTATTCTTTTCTTCTTTCCTTATTTTTTATTTGCTTTTGCTTTTTCTTGTTTTTTGTCTTTCCTTTCTGCTTTTTCTTTTTTCAGTTTTTAATTTTCTTTTATTATTTCTTTTTTAGATTTTTTAATGTTATTTTTATTTTTTACTTATATATGTTTTTATATATACTATTATTTATTATATGTATTTTTCCTATCTTTTTCTCTTTTTCCTTTTCTTCTTTTTCTTTTTTGGATCAGCACACACACAGCAGCTGCATGTGGTAATCTCACCATCATCCAACCTGAGGGGTGATCACAAGTACAAGTGGGCCAACAGCAATGAAGACTCGATTACAATAGGAGGGCCCACAAAACCCATACAAGGGATGTTCTTAGAGCACTGAGCTCAGGAGGTCAAAGAGACTGCACCACTGGATCCCACAGGACACCTACTGCATAAAGCCACTCCATGAAGACTGGGAGTCCTAGAAGATCTATCTAATACATAGAAACAAGCACAAAGAGACAACAGAAGTGGGGAGACAAAGAAATAAGCCCCAAATGAAAGAACAGGAGGAATCTCCAGGAAAAAAAGCTAAATGAAATGGAGGCTAACAATTTAGCAGACATAGAGTTCAGAGTAATGGTTATCAGGATGCTCAAAGAACTTAATAAGAACTGTAACAACATGAAAGAGGACATAGAAACCATGAAAAAGGACCAGTTGGAAATGAAGAATAGCATATCTGACAAGAATACAATGGAAGGAATAAAAAGAAGGCTGGATAAAGCAGAAGATCATATCAACAATTTGGAAGACAAAACAAAAAAAACCCACCCAATCAGAGCAGAAAAGGAAAAAAAGACTTAAAATGAATGAAAATAGTTTAAGGGAACTTTGGGACAACATGAAATGTAACAACATCTACATCATGGGGGTACCAGAAGGAGAAGAAAGTGAACAAGGGATAGAGAATCTGTTTGAAGAAATAATGGCAGAAAACTTCCCTAACCTGGTGAAGGAAAAAGTCACAAATGTTTAGAAAGAG